CGATCTGTCTAGCTTTGTTGCATTTGACCTTCGAAATATCTGTCTTTTTCTCATGGTTTTTTATCTTACCTTAAGCTTCTCAAAGTTTCAACGGCTTTCATACACTACATTTTGGGGGTCACTGGTCGTGCACTGTTGACTGATTTGAAGACTGAACTCCTCTGTGAACCAAGTCATATTACTATGCCAGATTAAGGCGTTTTGTATCCAGATTTGAAAACGTTTTCCTGCCTAGTTTGGAAAAGATGAATTTAAATTTACAATAAGTCCTATCCTAACACGTCTACTAAACACATGGCATCATAGGGACGTTAATGTAGTATATCGCATACCTTATTGAGAGAGTGAGGAATTGCAGGAATACACAACCACTGCATAATTCAGTCAAGATATATATATATATATACGATTTCGGTAAAAAAATTTCTCACTAGGTTTTCAATGCTTCCACAAACTTCTTACTCACTTTCAAATCCCTGATAGTTATTGCTGAAATTCCATGGGACTAACTTGACTATTCACTGGAAGAAACCCAACGTAACTTAACCCCTAGCAAAGTGTTATGTGGAGTAACCTCCAAGTGAAACTTTAGTGCTTTGAATATTATGTTAAATGTGAGTCATTGGCCGGCAATGACGCTGTATGATTAGCAGCATAGACATAAGGTTTGTCAGTGGTTTAGTAGCAGAACGCTAGCCAGACACTAGGGAGGTCGGGATTTGGTTCCCAGCTGACGTACTGCTTAACTTCACCTAGTTTACCAACAGGTATCAAGCAGGGAAAATAGAGAAGGTTGAGCATGAGACAAGCAGTCCCACACTGACATTATTACTACTGAAACATCAAAAGCTGGAGGTCGTATGTTTCACTCGGAACGTAAAGGAATGAAAAAAACATGGACATACTACTTATCAAGTTTACTAGATGGAGATGTTTACTTTTCGTTGTTCAGGTTTATAAAGGTCCTTTGGGATAAATTTTAATTAAATAAGTTGAAAGTGAAAACTGATTTTGATTTTAAGAGAAGCAGTAATAGCAATTCCCAAGATGTTAACTGTTCGAGAGATAAGTTACTTAAAATTCAATTTATAGATAATCGATTCAGATAAATATATATATATATATATATATATATATATATATGGAGTGGCCTTTGATATAATCAGTGATGACTGAAGGTGAAACGAAGATGTACGTAGCGGTGGGATTTAAATTACTAGTCCGGGGATTTACCAAGTTAGCTGTGAGATCCATTACCTAGTAACGACTGAAGGTGACTAATAATGTTTCAGTGTGATCCCAATCGACTAGGTGATCCAAAACCCAAGAGCAGAACATTTTAGTATCAAGTAAAATACATTTAGGAAGAACTAATTTTTTGAACATTTAGACGAGTCCAATGAAGGATTCATCGACCTCTTCAGAAGAAGCTTTTCATGAAAACCGAAAGACTTTCAACTTGTAGGAGTAAATAGAAAAGAACTATTATCATTAAAGTGGCAGAAAATAATAATATAACTAACTTATACGACTGTAACTAGTAAGCAAATATTTATCGACAGTTCTGTTTATCTAAACCGATGGTACTTCATCTGAATGTGTAAGATACATTTAAGCAGGTGAATCTATATGTGGTAATGACCTAATTTTAGAATATGCATCATTGACTCTAGCAGCAGTATCACAAAGTTTATAGATGAACTTTAAGTTGCACTGATGACCTGTAGCTACATGGCCCACAATCAAATGAATAATCCGTAGACGACTTTTTCTAAAAGAAATTTTATTTGTAGCAACTATCTTTTTGTTTTCTCTCATGGCTGGTATAGTCAGTGACTACACAAGCAGCGAACAATCATAGATCTAAAATAGATCACTTTTTGGTGTTCGCATAGAGTGTAAAGATTCCATCGAAAACCTGTAATACTTAGTTAGCATGTGCCTAGATTGGTAAGAATTGATGAAATGATGCAAATTATTACTGAAACATTTGCACAGTCAGGAGGGAGCCAAGCAACTATCATCTCCATCATGAGAAACGAATTTCTTTTCTCACTATGAAACCTATATTCCTGAAAGGTTTCCTTTAGATTAAACTGATCAGATAAATATAAACCAACAATCAGTCATTGATCTCTTACTTTGGTGCACAAGGTGAACGCTATCCATCGTTTGGTGATCTCTGAATGCAAAATGTAATATGATGTTGTGGCTGAATATAACACGCTCTTACCGTTAAATTAAAACACAACAATATACGACTGATCAGTCAAACAGAAAAGATTAACTGAGAAGGCAAAGATTTTATTGATCTAGGGAAAAAGTAACATGACCGGAAGCTAAACCTGATCATATATTTATTTCACATGACGGGTAAATCAATAATTTGAGATACAAAAACTACAACCGGGTTGGCTAAGATGAACCAATGAAATCCAACATCCTGACCTTTAGTCTAAGTTAGAGTCAAATGTCTGGTCTACAGATCATGTAGGAAAGTTTTAGTGATAATATGTCTCCACTTGTATTGACATCTCCCCATTTTTAATATATGTTTTCAAATGGATGACATCTTGGAGATACTTGGTGGGTCGTCGTTGCTCTCTACAGTCTTCGTATTACCTCTGTAGTAGTTTAGCAGCTTCTACTTGCTGCTACAACTGCGTAGAATGTTGATGAGGATATTTACACTTCCATCAACAGGTGCTTGAGAAGAAGCATATAGTTGTGAACGAAAAGACTTTTAGAGTATTTCCTAAAAGGAAAGTTTATCTGTTTAGTCAATACCCAAAATGACTTGAAAGATAACCTTATCCTTTACAGCTCCTTAACACATTTTTGATTACAAAAATAAGAATGAAGCAAAGAACACCCTTGACAAAATTAATAATGTGCATCCTGCAGTAAATTTTGCCATTGAGAAAGAAAGAAATGGTAGTATTTCATCCCTGAACGTCTTTATGACTACAAAAGAGGATGGTCTGATAAAAGGAGTGCATACAGAAAACCTTCATGGACTGATCAGCATACTCATTTGTAGAGTTTCTCACTTTTGAAATCTAAACGCAATTTAGTGAAGTGCTTGGTTCACAAAGCTAGAGTAATCTGCTGTAATGACTGTCTGAATGAACTCAAGATTATTACAGAATTACTTGGTGAAAATGTATATCCGGGAAAGTTTATTGATAAAAATATAAATGTGACGTCAAGGCAAGCTAGTTGTCAACAGCTCTGAAGAAGCCCTTGTTATTAAAACTGTAGTTTCTTGGTAACAACATCAGTGAAATAATAACACAACGCCTAGAGAATGGAGTAAAAACAGTACTCATTGCTGCAATAGTTCATTCTCTCTTCACAACCATTCCGGCTTTACTCTCAAGAAATAAGGTTAAAATACCTGATTTCGCCTCCTCAGTGTGTATCTGCTAGTCTGACTGCTTCTACAGAGCTAGTCAGATTGGGCGTACATTTAGGCATGTTTATCATCGAACTTCCGAACATCATCCTGAGTGGTTAGTCAAGGGACAGACAAGGTCTGTTTGTAGTTCTGTTTAACTCACTTTGTAGATACTGAACATAAAGTCAATGTTAACAAGGTACTTAAAGTTATCTATTGTATTCCGACTAATCTTTATTTCACCTTATATGTATAGCTAAGGACATCGGAATCCACCTGAATAACCTAACTTATGCTTTCAAAAGAATTTCTTTCAGACACCTTTCCCATCTTGGTCATCATTCCTTTATTGTAAAAAATCTGACAACTTCCCCTTCCTTCTAAGTCTTTTGCAAGTCATTATGGTTTTGACCATCTTTAAATGTCGCATAAATTTCTCTTCTTAGTTTTATCTGATATTCAATTTATTATTGTATTTTTGTGCATATTATCACTTACACGTGCTTTTGAACTGTCGTTCTATTGATCTTAGCAAGTCGATATAATTTAAAAAACATCAACGTTATCAAAAATACAATGACTCCTTAAATATTACATATAAATATAGAGACAGATGAAGAAGTTATCAAAAAGAATATTCTTTGTTCACTAACCAGTCTTTGGGAAATTTTTTGTGTGCATTTTTAATCAAATAACGAATGTGTATACAATAATGCAGATATATTTCCAGAAATTCGACTTACTGAAGTTAACTTCTTACTACACAGGTGAATTCTACAAACCAGTAAGAAGTCTGTAATCAATCAGGCTGGCATTAAAAGTGAACAGGGGGAAAATTAAACCAAATCTTAGGTTTAAATTCCTTGTCAGTATTAACTACAGAAGCGGGTAGAATAAATATTATTAAGTGTTCAAAAGATGCATAACTGCGCTTACAAAAGGCTGGAAAGTAGCAGATTTGTATTCACGTTTCCCAGGATAGCCTAGAAAATACTTACCTAACTACTCTAAAATATTGTTTTGTTTTTCATTCATTGGGAAATACAAAAGCCTTTATTATAATGAATATCATATACCCAATGCCCAAATTTTTTCAAACCGTTAAAAGTGAACTTGGTTTGGACATATATAAAACATCTTTGCCTAAATTTTTATTGCGCCCGAAGTTATATTGTATTCGGACAACTATAAAAGAGTTTGGTACAAAAATCCAGTTTGAGGTTTAAATCAAAGATATAAACAATTTAACTCTAACTTCTAACAAGAGTTTCGAGTAATTTGAATGAAATATTTGGAACTGCTACTTTATAAAAACAAATATAAGATTTTTGTCAGAGGGATACAAAGTCCAAGTCAGTTAACTTTTAAAGGAGACTCGTTCTCATCCCATCATGCTTGTTGTGAATCACAAAAGCTTTATTGATAAACCGTCATTCATATTGACTAGTAAAGATATTTTTATTCCCCGGGCTACGACTGGAATATTGGGATTCAGGCTTTGAAGTTTTAGTAACGGTGGCGTATCTTTTACGGTGTGGGGATGTTAGCCTCACGCTCAACCTTCCCTCTTTTTTCGTGCATACTACTGCTTAGTAAACTAGGAGAGATTTCAGGGGTCTCTGACGGGGAATCAAGCCCCCTCCACTCGCATAGCTAACTAACTAAATTCTCATTCGTCTCATCTTTTAAAGTGTAAGGAAATAACACTTTAAAGGTGACTAGTGACTGAGTTTTATTCATTCAGTAGGGTGTTTCTTGTTATTAACCTACAGACTGTTGATTAGGACTCTACTACACCAAGTACGTTTACATCTCAACTTAAATTGTTAACAAACAAAAAATGAAATCATAGAACAACAGTTATTTTGAAATCATGATATAAAAAGTTTAATTAGTCAATTCCTTGATGAAAACATTTCAGTAGTAAATGACAGTAAATCTTACATGAATAAATATCATAATCATAATCATATCATAATCATCTTCAAGAGAAAAAAGATTTCATCATTAATGCTTTTCTTTCGGTGGAACTATTATAACGGGAATATGAGCATGATGTAATACATATTCAGAAACACTTCCAAGAAAAGTACGTCGAATTGCACCAAGACCTCTGTTCCCCATGATAATCACATTGGCGTTGTGATCTTCGATCGATTTCAGTAGAGCAGCACCAGGTCGAGTATCCACATGAAGAAAAGCTTGACAGTTCACACCACACTGCTTTGCTTCAGCTATATATTTCTTTCCTAATACTTTTCCGTTATCAATACTATCTTGCATCATTTTGGTAATATCTGTTAGGGGTGGTGTCTCCATGGTTAGTCCAACAGCAGGTGTCGCATAAACTGGCTCAACAATATTGATGAACTTTACAATATCATTTGGACGCTTCATATTTTCTATGTACCACTGGAATGCTCTTTGAGCATGTTCACTGCCATCTATCGGCATTAAAACCACTCTAGGTGTTTCATTAACTTCACTCATTGTATGGTAATGTTTTGTCAGTTCGATAAACTTTATTTTAAATATGTAACAGACATGTCTATTCCAGCTTTCTTATTAGTCAATACTGCTTGCCAGTGATTGGTCAGTTAAGTGACCTTGACTTAATGTCTCTGGATTTTTCCAGATTCCTAAATATGTTGAGGTAGACACATAATTTTTGTTTCGTGAATAAAATAAATCAACAAATTTGTTTTTCCTTTTCCTTTTACTATAGTCTCATTCTTCATTGATGGAAAAATACTCGCTGAAATACAATATATGAAGGGGAGATCGTGTGCAACCAACTAGCCTGCTAAGCTTTAAAAACTGAATTATAACAGTCAACCAGTGTGCAAAAATTATCCTTGTCAGGTTATATTTACTATTCGGGATAGCTGAGTGTTCCAGCTACGAAAATTAATGCTAAAAATGATCATTCCCAGTAAAAAGCTTATGCTTTGTGGAATAGATCAAATTTATTATAATTACACTTCAATAGTAATTTGGTGGACGGTGACTAGCAGTGGAATGCAGGATGAGGATTCCGTCCTTGATATTACAGTTGCTAGTCACCATACACCAAATTACTTCAAGTTAAATCCTCAGGAGTCATCACGTCAACAGAGACCGAGCACTTCGGTCCAGTCAGTCAACGGGAAAGTCCAAAGTGAATTACATAGATTTCAATAGTTTACACATAATAAGATTTCTTGTTTTCGTATAAATAATCCCAGCAGTTGGTGTGATCCCGGGTAGTAATTTTGATTGGAAAATTAAAAAAAAAAAAAACTTACCGTTTTGTGTAAACTATTGAAATATTATTATAATTAATAATCATTTCCATCTAGCTTAGTAAATTCGTTAACCGTCAGGGAACTTAGTTTTTGCACCTGCTTAAGTGATAAGGAAAGATTCTATATCGAACCATAGGAAATATTACTGACCAGTGTTTTGACTGTGATTAAAAGTATGTAATGTCTATCTCTAAGGTGGTGACGCAGAATTGATAGATTAATGACTCATTTGAACTTTAGAGAAAATTGTCTAGACGTGCAAAGTGACATTTTTCAATATGACTGTCAAGAGGGGAAATCAGGTCAATTAACAGCTAATTTCTTGATTACCTTACACATTATTCTGGGTTAATAGGTAAGCCTTTCGGACTGACATATAAGGTACAGTCAAGTCATTGCAACGCCATTCAGTCACATCTTCTTCATACAGCCGAAGCTCTTAATATATACAAAAGGAATACCCTGAACTCTGTATACAAATGCTGTTTATCCTATTTCCTTTAGTTCCACGGCCTTAGATCTTTCGACGTGTTCTACAATAATTTTGTAGATAATTCATCTTTATTCTCTTTTGTGAACTTCTAAGTTTAAGAAAAATACGTTGTACATATTCTAAGTCTTTTTCTCTTATGAAAAGCATTCCTATTTCCACGAGACTGCATTTTTAGTAGCTATTTCTGAAGGTTATTTTCCACTTATTGCCCTAGATTACATAAGGTTAAGGAAATTCCAAAACTTACCACTTTCCTTCTTGATATATAATTCAGTTTGTTTCGTTGTCAACTGACATTAATATTTGACCTTTATTGACATTTTCCTTGACGTTTCAGGAACAGATTAATCATGCAACCTTGTCGAGAAGATACGAAATGACCAATGTGTGCTGACTTGTTTTTGTTTATAGTTTTATGCATGCTGGTACCCAACATCTATGTCAAATTATTTCTGGTAAAGCTACCTAGTCCGGTGACGTAACGTTTTCTGTCAAATACCAGAGGTTTTAAGTTACTACAAAATTAATGTAACTATGAACTACAGGTATTCTATACTATCACAGGATCAGAAAAATCCGAAATATAAACAAATTTCATATTATTAGCTTTAAAAAAAATAAAGTAACTGAGTATACTTCAGAAACTTCATTTTCGCGTCATCTCACAGATATTTTTTGACTGTGTTTTGGCATTATTATTTCTTCATTTCTTAACATTCCGAATGGTACATAGGGCTTCAAGCTTTGAAGGTTGAGTACTGATGGCATTGTTTTTATGGGAAGCAGAGTTGTAGCCTCACGTGCAACTTCCCCTCCTTTCAGTACTTATTGTCGGCTAGTATAACTAGGTGAGATTTACGAGTACGTCAGCCGGTAATCGAGCCCGAAACTCACATGTAGCCGAAGGTAACTCTATCGTTGAACTACCGGTACACATTATTGACATTATTTAGTACCACTAATCAGTGGAATTCAAAATAAACGTTTCATTTCATTTTGTGACTTTTTAACACAACCACTTAAAATGATTTCAGGTCTCTGTAGGAATACTAAACACTTCCTAGGTATAAAAGTGCATATAGCACTTACTAGTTGCCAGTTGAATGAAGCCCACGTTCTAAATATTGGTGTTAGATAAGAAAGACGAAGAAAAGAAATAACAGAGTTTGTTAGATATGCAGGCGTGTATTAACGAAACACTGCCAGTTCCTGAGGTTATTCTATCACAGATTATATTATGAAATAAAAATTTTAAAAACTAACAGGTGTTCACTATTCTACTCCAATGTTTATTTTTTCTAGATCTGGCTAAACGGCAGCATTAATTTTTATGGGTGCTATTCAGTAATACCTTATAGTCAGTTGACCTAATTTAGGCGAACACAAACAATGTATAGTATTGTGTCGGAGACATCTAGTATTTCATTTCTATTACTATTGTTAAAGATATGAGTTGTTAAATTTAACGGACCATATTTTGGAATAAATATTTGTTAAAATATGTATTAAAGCAACATTCATATGTCGTCATTTCTTTACGTCCGGACTACCGTTGATTTAATGAAATCAATAGACTGATAGGCTGAAATTAACATAGTGTATGTACGTATGTATGTTTCATTGATTTTCACTTATTTGTATCCAATATATTGTGGGGTAAGAGAACTATATATATATATATATATATATATATATATATATATATATATATATGACAATTTTTCCACTCTAGCAAACATCCTGTTCTAAATAAATTTAGCTGCTATAATGGAAGTCGTTCCCTCCCTACTCAAGAATATCTAGTAGTAGTTTATTTCAGCTGTTCGTGTTAGCATGTTCAAAAACAAAGTCGCAAGTATTAAAGGTTGAAATGTATTCATCCAAATTCACAGCCTTACCTTAATAACAAATATTTTTGAGTATATACAGGCTAAAAGGCAAAATAATGACTGTTGTGTTTTAAATGCATGGTAATTAAAGCAGTTGGATAATTTTTAAATCCACAGACTGGGTATGTCTGCGTATGATGTAGTCGCTAAATACTCACGGAATTACTAGTTAACAATAATGAGCGTTCGACAACTTCCTAGTAGATTTCTTCGGCTCCTACTAGTAAATGAGAAAACCCACAGAATGATATTGGTACATGTATTCCATTTGAGAAGGCAAGAGATAGATATGATAGAGAAGTCTGCACTGAAAATGTTGCCTAGGAAGACAACAAGATATTCCCAAATAAGCCACCCAGTTCAGAGGACATATTTACACCAAATGAGCAAGATAAGAGTTGTACATTAATAATAATAATAATAGTCAAAAAGTATCACAGGATGTAATAGTACTACGACACAGCCCGTGCAGCAGGTGTCTGTCAAAATAATAAAGTGTATTTGATAGTTTAAGTAATAGACAGATAGCCACTATTATTATAATGTGAATTCTCACTGACAGACTATCAAGCTAGTCTATAGTCTAATATAAAACTAAATTACAACGTACACTAGTTTCATGCTCTTTAGCTTAGCTAACAAATTTTGAACCTATTCTACACTTCACTCTCAGCGCTTACTACCTTCTGGAAACTGTTTCGCGGACACAATCTAGCAGTAAATGAAGTCACTGTTGACTTCAGTCGTAACGTCTACGATTACATAGTTGGATGAATTTTTAGAAAATATGAATAGAATGTAGATAGACCTTGCTGATAAGTACTGAATGACGTAAGAACTAGGTTCAGTCATTCCTATTCATTGAACATGAGCTTCAAAGACCATGAAGAGTTATTTTTAGTTACATCATAATAATTAGTAACATGTATAAACACATTCAAAACATTATTTGATAATACACCGGACCATGTAGTCACTGCATCTAGTTCCTTAGGCAACAAATTCTGACACTAGTTCAAGCCGTTACAATGGGATGTGTAAGATATCTTGCGGTCATCTGCAAAAATCAATGATCAGCCATGTGGGAAACAACTACTTATGTCTTTGACATGAAGCAAAACCAGACTTTAACACTACTATGAACTACATCACGGGTGTCTGGTCTAGGTTCAGTAGTTCCAGATTCAAGTGACATGGCCATATTGTTCGGAATATTGAATGAACAATAGTTATAAAGTAAACGTAATAGTTTCCAAATGCTTGGGGAATATCTCGCCTTACAAAAAGTTGTGATTTAACTGGTCAAATTTAAATGTTCGCATTGTAGACATTAGTATCGGTAACCTAATAGATGTTTCACCAAGGTAATTTCACTTTTTAAAGCATCTTTATCAGCATTGTTCTCATCACCTGCGTCTTACTTCTGTCACTGTGTCTTATAGAATTCAGCGACCACTAATAGCTGTGAATATGTATGCACCACATTTTATAACGTTGCCATGTTAATGACGTCTGTAGACTGACATCTTTTATGCACGAATAATTGGGAATAAAGTTTTAGAGGATGAGAGGCGTTGATGTTTACAAAAGTATGACGTATACTAACGCATATTATTATACCCATAACCTCTATCCTATTTGTTCTGCGTAGACCAAAAGCAAGTCAAAATGACTGTCCAAAATACGAGATATATTTCGGGATCAAAATCGTGGTGCGATGCTGAATGTTTAACTAGCTGGGGAGCATGTACGAACGAAAGTAACACAATGACGTGCCGAATGGCGTGGATGCTTTACCAAGAGCCTTCAGCTTAACGTGTCAACTTAAACGGTGAAGCTGAAAATCCAGTGTTGATTGATGAATACGGTAGACTAATAATTCTAGGGGATTATTTACCACTAGAATATTATCA